TATATTAAAGAGTAAATTTTGATATACAGGGTGGGACAATAATAACTATACTGTATACAGTTGTTTCATTTAGAACATCATTTAATTTCTGTTATTCTGAAACAGAAATATATTGGTTTCAATTGTCTTCATGATAATTTCTTTATTACCAACTATATCAACCATATAATACCAACTACATGTATAGTAACTTTTGCTCCACCTTGTATGTACAAAAGTTTGATAATATGTATGCTGTAATTTTGTAAGTAGAGATATTTTGCCAAACAGCTTTAGTAAAAGAAGATATTTGAACAAATATGTCTGCCACGGTTTCAAATCCAAAAGAAGTGTTATATGAGGTTTTATTCGTTATGATTTCTGTCTTGATTTGCTTTGTCGCAATAAGCCTTCCAGAACAACTAAGTGACTAGTAATAAATCATAAATTTATTTAATGTAGAGTTGTTTTTAACTGGTTAATTGCAGAATTAAAATTGTACACTGAGCAAATTATTTCAAACTTATTAAAATGTTTTAGGACTAGACAGTATTACTGTACAGACATGGTTAATTATTATAATTTTTAGTGGTAGAAACTTTTTATGTTTAGTATCCTTTGTGATATCAGCTTCAATATTTTCTAGGCCTAAACGATATGGACTTGACTAATTGATAAATTACTACCACTAATGAATTTCAAAAAGAAAAAGTAGATTAAATCTAGTTGTTTTTGAAAGGTCAATATTAATTTGGTAATGCTATTTTAAATTTTATTTTATTCTTTGAATATTAGTATACCTAGTAAAAATAAAATTTGAAAAATTGATAATATTTTCAGGTTTTGAATTATATTTGACATTTCTGGAAAACATTATCTGATTTGTACCATCTTAAAATATGAATTGTCTTCTGCATTACAAAGACAGTTTAGATGGCATTTGGTACTGCAAGCCTAGGTAAGTTTTAGGTGTGCTTTGATTAAATAGCTGAGCTTTATACTCTTAACCCTTTATCATCTTCACCCATACATTTACGCCAATTACGGTAATGGAAAAAAAACCTTCCATGGATGATAAGGGGTTAAGAAGTAAAACAATGCAACAAAACTGACATTTCATGGCCACGTGACTTACAACTAGTTAGGCATTATGGAGACATATAAAATACTTACAATGAACGTCTTGAAGTGACGATAATGTATATAGTTCTGTTGAATATCATTTATAAGCAAGAGGTGATATTTTAATAATAACCATTAACCAGAAAAATCATTTTTAGTAGAAAGAATGTTAAATAAAAATTAAATTGCCTTTAGAAATGTAAAAGATTAAAAGGAAAAAAAATCAAACTAATTTAAAAATAAATTCAGACAATTTCAAGTTGTGCAGTCCATTATAACTTAATGTCATCTCTTATTCAATCTTATAAAATAGGATTTTATGCCTAAGTTATAGTTTTCAATAGCAAACACTGGCAAAGTATTCAGAACCATTAACCCTAATGCTGGAAAACCTTTTTTGTTACACACATTCTTTTAATTTGTCCTTTATGAATTTTAAAAATAGCATTGAAGTCTTTCTTTTGTTTCCCATAAGTTACTCTCCAGGTATCTTTTTGTTCAATAATAAAGCTTATTAGCTTGATTGAATATATTAAAAGTAGGTATATATAAATAGCATTTCAGGAAAGTTTTTGACTGTCATATCCAAACTAACTAAGTTTTGATGGTGTTTTCTGGACAGTGACTTGTGAATTTATCTGAAGTATAATTATTGAATAACCCTGGCTTCAAATTTGTAAAGTGATAAAAAAAAGCCTAGTATGATTTTTTATTATTAGTATTACTCCAGTTGAACTTGTACTTCTTCAACTGGCTCAGTCTAGTAATAATGTCCAAATCACATTACACAATTTTGACAGTGTATTTATTTTGAATAACTGTAAAGTAAACTAGTGATATTTTTTTTTTACTGTGAACAGTACTTAATGTCTGTGTGATCATTAATAATGAGTATTACAAGAAGAATTATAGAATTATGAGCTCATTTTAACATATGGACAACAGGGAGGGTTTCAAAGCTGTCTTTGCACATCCACCCTTGATAAAAGTAAAAACTTAAACCCTTTATTTTTTCAGGTAAATACTGATACCCCTCTTAAACTCCTGTAAAGTGCTGGCCTCCATTACTGCCAACAGAAACTCAAAATACCCAAGAATATAATGTCTTCAGCAAACTTTGCTAATTATGCTCCTATTAATATCATAAATGTCAATAAGAAAAATCAAAGGCCCACTGATACCTAAGCCACTCCACCAGTAACAAGGGTCCAGTATAATTATGTGTGACATAATTAGAAAGATTTGTTTGTTTTCTTTAAGTTTGCTTTTGATAGCAAGATGTACAGATCTGTACAGTTGAAAGAATGTTTGTGTAATACAAAACACATAAATATGAAAATAACTCTCTATTAATAGACATTTCATTGTAGCTGGAGAAAAAATTATTTGAAAATAGATGCATTATCTTGAATCATGCACAATATTTCAAAAAAAAAAGGTTTTAGAATCTGTTTTAATTCTGACTTTTCGTTTAAGACAAAATATATTTTCTTGCTTTAATTAAAACTGATTACTCTTTTAAAAGTATGTTATTTAGGTCAGACCATGACAAATATTCTCAATCTAGGAGCGAGGAGTACCTAACCTAACTTCACTAGTGTTTGTACTGGGAAACGTATATTTATTTACTCTCACTTCAACAAGTGTATGCTAATGATCACATGATATCAACAACCACTTGATAGTATTGCTTGAACTAGCTGCCTTTGGTCCTGCCTGAGTCTAAACAGTTGCACTTATTGGTTGAATTGATAGAAAGATGAAAAACAAAGTGGTGTGAAATTAGTAACTTGTTGTGCAACCATACTGCTTCATTCCTGAAAGAAGATGAAGAAGTGCTGAATCCACCATTAAAATCCTAGAAACAAAGATTGATTTAGGACTTAAAGAACACGAAAATTGTTCTGGACTTCCAAGAGTCCAGAACTGTTCTAGATTCGAGTTTTACTTAGCACGAATAAAATGGGAGAAAATACTAGGTGCCACGATTAAATTTTTAGTTGCCATGGTGACTTGGCACCTGTGATTTGTCAAGGCCTGATTTTAGGTTATGGATTTTTGTTAAAAAATTGTAAAGAAGAACTACTTGAATAGTTACTAGTTTTAAGAACTAGGTTACAAAGTAAGTTTTAAGCACTTGTACATGTTCCCTTAGGAACAGAGAGTAAGAAGCATGATACAGGGCAAATATACTTTCTAAGGATTGTTTTAGCTGTTAAAGTTTATTAGTAATTATTATACTTTCAAAGCCCACATGCATGTTTTTTGTTTCTCTTTTACAAGGACCACTTCTTCGTTTCCAGCTCTTTATCCCATAAAGTAGTGTATGGTTATTATTTGGTTTCTTTTTAGGGTTTGTCAATGTGAAAGTTAATTGTTTTGCTAAGCTGCAAGGATGGATGTTTGTGATGTTGTAATGGTAAACTTTATATGCTTTGTGAGGAAACCTGTTTTTTTTGTATTTCAGCCATCCCTTTTTTTTCAAAAGGAACATGTCTATCTTGAATATTTAAACATTTATTTAATATTTTTTCCCCATTTGATTAGTATCTCCAGTTAATTCAGTTTCCCAATTCACAACAGATAATACATGTTGCATCTCTTCAAAATTTACTTTTTAAACATGGTTTCAGTGGGGGAAAATATTGCCTGACTAATCTTTAAACATTCTTTGCAGAGGTTACTGCTTCCGTACATGAGGAAAAGGGTGTGGATTTTGTGTATCTAGATTTTCTGAAAACATTTGATAAGGTTCCACATACAAAGTTTGTTAAACAAATTATTTCTATAGGAAACCCTACAGTATCCTACTTGTGACATTAATCCAGCATGATTGAACTCTATTTGTAACAACCCTCTGCATTTTTCTATCCAATGAGCTAACTTATCCCTTCCAAGTTTAGGACCTTTGTTGCTATTTTGTAATTTACATCTATGACGTAGATAAAGAAATGATCAATAAATTACTTAAATTTGCTGATGATGATATGATCTTGGGTGTTGCCAGCTGTAAAGAGGATACTGTTGCTTTACAAAAGGATTTAAATTATATGGTTTGATAGTTGGGCAAATAAATGGCAGACGGCTTTTAATTATAATAGATAAAGGGTAATGTATGTGAGTTATCATAATTGGGATTATAACTATAATTCTAATGGAAACACCCTTAACATTGGTCTGGAAGAAATAGAACTTGGTGTAATGGTTGATCAGTCTTTTAAGCTATCTAACCAGTGTGCTGTTGCTAGTGTTAAGGAAAATAGTATTTTACATGGTATGTACAGAAAAACTGAAAACAAGTCTAACGAGGTTAGAATTTCAACGTACAAGTCACTAGTTAGGCAACTTTTGGAGTATTGTGTTTAGTCATGGGCATCTTACCTTAGGAAAGACATCAAATTGTTGGAAATGGTTCAGAATTCATAGGAGAGCTACTTGGATAATACCTGGGAACGGACAGGTTGAGGTCTATAAAATTGTTTTCTCTTCAAAAAAGAAGTGTTATAGGGGATCTGATCGAGATGTCTAATATTGTTAAGAGAATTGATAGTGTTGATGGATCATCTTTTTTTCATATTTAATTCTAGAACACCAGCTTGGGGTCACTATGACCCCATACCACCTGGTGTTAATGACTGAAAATTTAACACTGGCATTCTTGGGTTAATGGTGAAATTGATGGGACTAAGGGATACAAATATAAATTACAGCGGGGTAGGAGTTATATTCGACTAAGACAGTTTTATTTTTTTGATAGGGTATTTGTCTTTTTGAATGGTTCGTCTTCAGATGTGGTGGGTGCAGTAAATTTAAGGAAGTTTTAAAGGAAGACTTGGTAAACATTTGAATAATAAGGGTTGGCTTTGAGTTGTTTTTTTTAAGTGGAGTTTAATGGATCGGATGGTCTAGCTGAACCAATGGGTACCATGTTTTCCTTAAATTTGATGTTAGATCCCCATGTTAGTTTTAGTTTGTATGTCATGTTTTCTTTTAAACATGATATTTATCAGTAACACAATTTTTTTCTTTTGTAATGATCATGCTTCTATTGTATTTTAGAGTATTTCAGTTAGCATACTAGATGTAAATTCTGAAACTTAAAACAATTAAAGGAGGCATGTAGGAATATAAAATAATGTTTTGTATTTTCCAGATTTGCAGTTTTTACCAATGATAATGTGGTATTGAAGTTCAATCTAGCCACATCCCATCTTTAATATTATTCTCTCAAAAGTTATACATCAGAGTACATCATAATGGCCAGCAGTGAGGAAGAGGAAAATAAGATGGAACAACACCTAGAGTGGATACAGCTTCGAAAGGACATGAAATCTATGATATCTCCAAATGAAGAAGGTTTGCGTGAAAAACTTTTGAGAAAGACCAAAGAAAATCCCTTTGTTCCAGTAGGTTGTCTTGCTACTACAGCAGCATTATCATATGGACTGTGGAGCATGAGGACAGGCCAGAGAAAGATGTCTCAGTACATGATGAGAGCTAGAATTTTAGCACAAGGATTTACAGTTGTAGCAATCATTATAGGATTGGGAATTGGAGCAGCCAAAAAATCAGGCTGAGGGTAGATCCCATGATACGTTGTACATTTAACTCGCTGTTAGATTTTTAGAAGAATAAGTAAAAGTCACTTGTTCTAGACACTATGATAATGTACAACTATGTTTGTTTAGACAAGAAGCAATGTTTTTACTGTTGAAATCTGCATGTTAAAGATTATAATAATAAGGAATATCTTAGCTAGTTTAAAGACTAATTCTTTAAATACATAATAACATATTTCTATAATTTTGCCATTGATATTCTAGAACATTGACAAATCATGTATTTGTAACTTTTCTGTTTCTGAATCTACTTACAGAGCCATAAAATCAGATCTTATAAAAAAAAAATCATCTTATCTCTCCTTTATACCAATATTTAATTGACAAAATTGATTATACCAGAAATAGTTGTTGTGAAATTCAAAATGATTAAGAAATTTAATGCATTCACGGTTACTACAAAGTATGAAAAATGGTAAATGAAACAGCTATGATTACTTACTGGAATTTTTCACTATTTTACCCTTTGTTATATGCAAGTGGAAAGATGTGCTTCATTTGTTTTAACTTCAGTACTAAACACCCACAGAAAAATAGCTTCAGAGCTTCTTAGATAAGTGTAATACAAATAAGTAGTAATTCAAAAAGTTTAGGTTATTTATTCTGTATTAATAAGAGAGTTGTTTGTTGTCAGAGGCAGAACTAGTGCGGGACAGAAGGGGCAATGCCTCGGGGCCTGCGACACTTGGTCTTCTGAAAAAAGGGGTCCTGATCATTTCTTTGCCCCAGGGCCCCTGAACTGCTTGTTGTATATAACAGTTGTGCCTTCTTAAAGATGGGGAGGGCAATCAGACAGTAAGCCAAATATAAGAATTGGTATAAGTAACTGAAATGACAAAAATTAATGTAGAACAGTGCATTTGGAAGAACATGGGTAGACATATTGTACACAAAGTGAAAACATTAAACTTAATAGGATGTGGAAATCTGAATAATGAAACTGGTGTAGCCAACAAATCAAAGGCTGTAGCTAAAATTCACTGACATTGATAAGCCATTTCAGATAAAACTTTAAAATGGTACTTCTGTAGTATATCATGGAATACCAAGTGTCGAGCACAAGTGCTCTAGAAATCACTGCTCAAGACATTAAAATCAGATTGCTAAATTATAATTTCTTTCTCATGCTAAAACAATTGATAATTTTCTAAAAAGATAAGCAAAAACTTACAAATGTTTTGTCTAGTAAAATAGTATAAAACATGTTGTGTTGGTGAGGTACTAGGATGAATTTTGAAATCTTAATTTACATAAAAGAAGAAACTAACCGAAATTTTAGGGTTGTGGAACCTTAATGATAATTCAACTCTTGGGAGCTTTGCTAGAACCTGTGTGATATATGAAATTGGATTATCCATACCTTCGACAATGTAGCTAGTAGTAGTAATAACAATGTTCATAAATACTTTTAATTTTTTCTTGGTTATTCAGGGCTAAATATGTGCATGATGGAAAAAGGATAGCCATATGACTATGAGGCTTAAACTATATTATAACAACCATATCAAGCAGTAATTCCCAAATTTTGTAATTCGACAGGCCAGCAAAATCTCTGCAAGTCACTTCAATATTTGTAAGATGTTTCTTCCCATTAAGAGTTTTTTGGCCTATAAAAGTATAAATATAATACAGTATATGACCTATAAATATAAAGCACAGAATGTATATATTTATCTATAGGTTTATTAAAACATAGTTGAAAGAATTTAGATTTTTTAATAATATGAGTAGGTATTCAAAAACATATAAAACTACTGTAGTGTATTTTTTTTTTTTTTGCGATTTATGGGGGCGCCATCAGCAGATGATATGCCCCCAATTTCACCGATCTGATCTAGTTGAACTAGATACATTCGTCACTCTGCCATTTAGCATTAAGGACAAATTAGTAGTTACGTATACATACATAATTTTTTTCCCCAATTTTTTTTTTTGTGTTATTATTATTATACTTTTGTTGTTGTTGTAGTTAATTGTGTTACACTAAAAATCCTACAAGGTCGTGTTATTGAAATAATACATAAGGAAAAAAAGTTTACATAGTTAGTTCTTCTCGACTGGGGGCGACTCCAGCCATTGGAGGCAAGGATAAAAGAAGTAGCTCTATTAGTAAAAAAGAAAATGACATTAAATTTTTATGTTGTTTGTTATAACGAAGTTATATATTGCGGGATAGAGACAATTCGTAGTTAATAGAGAGAGGTAGGTAAAAGGGACTTTTATGTTACCCATCTGTTGGTTTATGGCTGCTCGATCTCTTTGGTAATATATAAATTCCATGAAAGTGTGTTCTGGGTCTTCAAAATTTGAACAATGCCTGCATTTACCATTTGGGTGTACTTTTATTTTGTAAAAAGGTTCATTTAGACCTGTGCAATTAAATCGGAGGCGTGTAATAACAACTTCTTGGTGTCTGTTCGTACATTCATACTTGATGTGAGAAGAAACAACAGGAACAATTTTATTGTAAATATTGGAATGTTACACGGAATTCCATCTACACTGCCAGGAGACTAAAATGAATTGATAAACTTGGCCATAGAGGTCACCAAGTTCAATAGAAACGTTTGTGACCCCAGGATATGCTGACGCATTCTTGGCAAGATGATCAACTATCTCATTTCCCTGGATTCCTATATGGCTAGTAGTTACATATACAAGGACAAGGTATATAAATACTTCACTCAGTAACATTGGGTTAGATATAAAGGAACCGTTCTTAATCGAAAGTAATGAACTTAAAGAATCACTGACTATCAGAGTTTTCGTAACCTCGGAATCTTCCAGCCGCAGAAGGGCTTGTAAGATAGCAAACAGTTCAGCCTTATATACAGAAGCAGGTGCAGTTTTAAATGCTTTTCTGATGTTGAGATTGTTGATATAAAATGCCGATGAATTAAAACTTACCAGTTTGAAGCCATCCGTAAATATACTAGTATAGTCTGAGAAACTTACTTGTTTTTCCTTGGCTAAGGACAAAAGCAAACAACTTTGCTCCCGTTTTTTACCAACATAATGAAGACTAACGTCGACATCAGGGGTTGGAATCTCCCAAGGAGGAAAGTGAAAATATTGGTATTTTGCAACATTTTGAAGGTCCACGGACGAGAAAAGGTCTTCAGTTTTTATCGACATTGGCGAGTTATTTTGGTGAAAGGTTCCGTAATAATCTTGCCAATTCTTTTGAATGAAATGAACTGGATAATCGTAATACAAAGATCTTGCTATAAATTTGAGTTGGATCTCCCGTCTCTGCAGGTCAAGGGGTAGGACACCACAGTCCACTTCCATAGCCGATATATGGGCGTGTTTCAATGCTCCACAACATAATCGCAGACAAAGATTCTGAATAACGTCCAGTTGTTTAAGGACTGAGCGACTCGCAGAGTCATAAATGATACTGCCATAATCAATGACGAATCTTATTAAGGTTTTGTACATAAGTAATAAAGTATTTTTGGACGCTCCCCAACGTGTGCCAGACACACATTTAAGCAAATTGAGTCCCTTAGCACATTTGTGCGAGACATAGGTGATATGACGCGTCCAATTTAACCTGGAATCAAAGATAACTCCAAGAAATTTGAGGTGAGTGACTGGGACTAGTTGATGGTTATTAAAATTTAATTTCACTGTGCTTGAATTACGAGAAAAAGGTAGAACTGCAGATTTTAGGGCTGAAACCGTAAAGCCCCATTTAAAAAACCAATCGGCTAAATTATCCAGATTTCTTTGAAGACAGGTTTGAATGTGATTAATATTACGACCAGTTTTCCAGAGGGCTAGATCATCAGCAAAAATACTATAATTCGTACCATTATTAATGAAGGAAGAACTAAGGTCATTAATCATTAGAAGGAATAGGGCTAATAACACTATCCTGGGGAGTGCCATTTTCCGAGACTCTTTCCCCAGAGACGACTCCATTGACTCTGACCTTAAAGGATCTGTTTGAAAGAAAGTCTTTAATCCAGTTAAAGAGTTGGCCATCAAAACCATAACTATTGAGTTTATATTACAAACCTTCTTTCCAGACCATATCGTATGCTCGTTCAATATCCAAGAACACAGACACTGCCTTACCTCTGTTACATAATAATTTGTTGACATCTTCATGTAGCCGTAACAAATGATCAAGCGGAGACTTCTTCCAACGGAAACCAGACTGAAACTGGTCGAAAAGTCTATGTTTTTCACAATACCAATTCAAAAGGTATGCAAGCATTCGTGCCATAATTTTACACATAGTAAAAGTAAGAGCGATTGGTCGATACGATGTAACAGATCTTGGATCCTCGTCTGGCTTAGGGATTGGACAAACTATGGCGTGTTTCCAGGCTGAAGGGAGGGTACCTTCATTCCATACCTTACTGAAAAATTCCAGCAGCTTTACCAAAAAATTGGGGGAAAGATTTTTATAGATTTTATAAGGAATTCGATGTTACCAGGGGCCGAGTTTTTAGATGTCTTTATTGCTCGGTTAATTTCACCGATCGTGAATTGAGCGTTCAACCCATTACTATTATTTGGCTTCTTTGTAAAGGTGGCATAGTGGTCATGTTCAAATATTTTTTTATGAGTTAAAAATTCGGGTGAATAATTGTCGGAACTGCTGATGTGGGCAAATTGATCAGATAGCGCATTTGCCTTTTCAACATCCGTCAAATATGTTGATCCAAGAGTTTTAAGGGTAGGAATAGAGATAGAACCCCCACCATTCATACGCTTTACGAATTTCCATATTTTACTTAAATTTGATGAACGGTTGAAACTAGAGCAGTAATCACGCCAGAATCGTTGTTGGAGTGCTCGAATCGTACATTGACAAATGGCCTTCTGCTTTTTATTCTCAATATAATCGACTAAGAGACGCGTTTTAAGAGCTTTCTTCCTACTCTTGTGTTTTTGTTTAACTGGATTGTCACATTCCATATTCCAATAAGGGGTCTGATGTTTTCCACAGTCTGTAGTTGATAGTGGGATAAATTTCTCTGCTCCTTCCAAAATAATAGTTATTAGACGAGAATGTACAGATTCGACAGAAGAAGACATATCTATGTTTTGAATGGAAGAATCAAGGAACATACGGAAGTTGAGCCAGTTTGCTTTGTTAAAGTTCCAGAAGGCCGTTGTACTCCTAACTTCAAGAGGGATCTTAACAGATGTAATTACCAGGAGATGGTCATTTCCCAGGTCATCATCTAGAACATCCCAGGTAGCAAGACTAGCAAGTTTACTGTCTATAATAGTGAGATCTAGAGAAGAGAGATTACCCCGAACAAGACATG